ATTTGATTGGTACTTGACATCAGGGGATTTATTTGATTGGTACTTATGATCATGGGATTCATTTGCTTGGTAATCATGATGAGGGGAGTCATTTGCTTGGTACTTATGATCAGGGACATTATTACTGTAGGTCTCGGCAAGTGATGATCCAGTTTGATCCAGTAGATCTTCCTCGTCAACTTGTACTTCTGACACCATGTTATGAGGAACAAAACCAGTCATGCCATCTAACTCGCCCCAGTAAAATCCATCTTCATCTTTATCGCCATAGATCTGTGATATTAAATAATAATAATGATAGAAGAATGAGTAGAACTATCACTGAACATAAGATGAGAATATGTGGACCGCGTGGCACTTATGAAATACATGAAGACATAGAATATAGATAAGTTGTTAGTGCTTGGGAACGTGGTTATTCCGGGCGAAAGCCCTTGGAATTAAATTCGGAAAAATTAATTTCCGACCTCGCTGGGAATCGAACCCACGACCTTCGGAATTGTACTACCGATGCTCTACCAGCTGAGCTAGAGGCCAGACTGAGAGCAGACCGGGGTGAAATAGATGTTAGGTCGCGGTAATTATGATGCAAAGATGAGAATATGTGGACCGCGTGGCACTTATGAAATACATGAAGACATAGAATATAGATAAGTTGTAGTGCTTGGGAACGAGGTTATTCCGGGCGAAAGCCCTTAGACTCTTCCACAGTCTCTCGCTCGTCCGTTCCGTCTCCACGCTTAGAGACTGTAACGGTACAATGACCGAAAGGACTTATGGGTCCCGAAAACGTGGACCCAGCGTGCTTTGGGAACCAAAATACACGTCCACAGTCTCTCTCGTTTTCGCCGCCATCTTAAAAATATTGAAACAAGTAAGGCCTAGGGCAAACGTCGAACTTTCCATGCACAGAACTCATTAAAAACAATGGATATCAGGTGATAATGAGGCGGCATTCTTTGATGTTATTAAGTTAGGTGCATGGAAAGTTCGACGTTTGCCCTATGTCTAAAATACATGATTTAGTTCAATAGTAACGTCAGTTTTTACCTTAATCAGATCTCCCTCATTAAAAGTCAGTTCGTCCTCCTCTGCGCCCGGATTTGGTGACATCGTAGTTGGATCATAATCATAAAGAGCAATGAATATTCTGATTTGCTCTTCTTCTTCTTCTTCTTCTTCAACTTGTTCGTCCTCAGGAAACTCCCCCTTTTCACTCACAGTGTAGGTCTTGTTTCCCTCCGTGTCAGAGTTATCGTTCTCATATCTCATCGTGGTTTCTTGATCCACTGGCTGGTGATGTGGCTCAGGATAAGCTCTACTTAACCTTGGTGTAGACGTTTGATTGGGCTGATCTGCCTCTATATCACTGTATGTCTGGTTTTTATGATACGAGACATCACCTCCTTCAGCATTCGACACCAGGTATTTCTGCAGACTTGCTTGATCACCATCATATGTCTGGTTTAAGGCAGCATCGTCTGTTTCTTGTGATATCTTACTAATATTTGCGGTAGTAACAGTGTTTCTCTCCTGGCTATCCTCAGGCTCTTCTCCAAGCAAGTCCATGACGTCATCATCACTCTTAAAACTGTCTGACGTTGAATGCGATGAACGGCTTCTCTCAGGTTCAGTCGCTGCTCCTTTTCTACTGTTTTCCTCAACAACATCATCTTCTACTTCCTCTATTTCTTCCACTTCATCAATAACTGACAAAGGTTCTTCATCACTTGAGATACCAACCTCACTGTCACTTAATTCTAGAGGGTATACGAATGGTTCCGTGTTACCCTCCTTTTTCTCGTGTCTTTTATCATTCTTTTTGTAACTGGTTGCGGAATTGAGAGAATCATTCAGCTCATCCATATCAATGTCACTTTGTTCAGACATTTTTCGTTCGATAGCGTGGTCTGCCAGGTTCTTTTCGGTCAGGTCTCGGTATTCCTTCTTGGTTTCCCCCTGTGTCCACACAAGAAGRGAGCATGTTAGTTATCTAGCAAGAATGTTGCATGCTAATTATCTAGCAAGAATGTTGCACTTCTACAGTATTATTACCTTATTAGGATGCTCTTGCTGTTGTGTTTTCTCATCCACTACAGGTTCAGGGCTGCATATTTCAACGTGTTCATCTTCTTCGTTATTGCTGCTTCCACCATGTTCACYTTTATTACTATCCCCACTATCAGATGTTACGTCATCTTCACTGACTTCCATCTTCCACACCACAGGCTTTCCTTTAGTACGGGCTTTAGGCACGGGCGGTGTGCGTGTATCAGTATTCCTTGGTATAACCTCAGTATACGAACCATCATTAACATTACTGTCACGGGCTTTAGGCACGGGCGGTGTGCGTGTATCAGCATTCCTTGGTTTAACCTCAGTGTACGAACCATCATTAACATTACTGTCACGGGCTTTAGGCACAGGCGGTGTGCGTGTATCAGCATTCCTTGGTTTAACCTCAGTATACGAACCATC